ACATGTCTGCACTTGTGGGCTTTTCCCTCTACCCTTAAAAAGATTCTTTCTTTTTAAATATATATATTAAATGTGTTTTGCCTACATGTATGTATGTGTACCAAATGTGTCCACTGCCCTCAGAGGCAGAAGAGGGCACCAGAGGCCTTGACACCAAATTTACAGATGGTTCATGTAGGTGATGAGAATTGAACCTGAGACCTCTTCGAAAAAGTGTCCTTAACTACTGAGCCACTTCTCCAACCCCATAATCCCCATTTTTTCCACCCACACCCTCAGCCCATGGAATGATGGCATCTACATTGAGGATGAGTTCTTTCCTGCCATCCCTAGTTAAGCCTTTTCTAGTTAAGTAAAAAGGCTAGCAAAGCCTTTTTGGAAATGCCCTTCACAGATACACCTGGAGGGCGTGTTTTACTTGACTTCTAGGTGCTTCCTGACACAATCAGATTGCGAGTTAGGATTAGTCATTAGCACCCAATTACTCAAAACCAGACTGTTCTGCTTACCCGATAACATAATGAGAACCATCTGTATCATAAGCTGCTCAGAAAGCGCCGGAAGACAGGCGTCAGACAGGGAAGGGAAAATACGCTGCACAATTCCGTTCAGATGAGCTTCAAAGACAAAACCACCCTCACCTGGCAGAAGTCTGAACCATGGCTGCTTTGAAGGTACATCAGGGGGCACAGAGAACTACCCAGGGCATGGTGAGTGTTCTGTTTCTTGCCTTGGTGGGGGTTATGTGGGCTTGGTGCTCATACAAGGTATCTGCTTAAGGTCTACACACCTGATTGCACATGTTCCTTAAAGACCCCACATGACCGCACAGAAAAAGAGAAATGCCATGTACCCGATCTTTTACACACATATTGCATCCTCAATCTTGAGATCCACAAGCATGTTAACTTAATGAAGAAAATACGGTTCTCCTTCTAAGTGTACACTCTATACCTTGAAGTTAAGGCTGAATCACCGCTGTCCTTTTAGAAAGGCAGGTCACAGGATAAAAGAAGGTACCTGTAGCTTATTAATCAATAGGAAGACCATGGACAAGTGAAAGCTGAAAATCTATTAGGAGAAAGCAAAAGGTATGGCAAAGACATGGAAAAACGATCTCTCCCTTGATCCTTCCGGCTATCTATCACACTATTTTAAATTGACCTTTAGGTCAATGCTAACACGCCAACACGATTTCCAAGTAGGAAGTTGAGCCATTTTTGGTACAGCTAAATGTCCCTATTGACCTCTAATCCTTGTCTTTTTCCTGACATCTAAGGACAATGGCTGCTGACCATTCAGCCTGATTAGCTCCTATTTATTCCTTAATGTGTTCTTTTGTAGGTTCTATGTATTTTACACATGTAACCTCAGGATGTATCTTTGTTTATAAAGTTGCATTTTTTTAAAAATTCTACATTCTCTCTTACCATATCTTAGACTGTAGGCGAAGAACTACTGTTTGACCTGACTCTTGTGAAGAGCCTCAGTCTTTCAGAAGAATGGATGGTCCAGTTACACAGCTCTTCTTTTACGGCCTTTCCCCTTCCCCCTTCCCTCACTCTGCCTCGTTGTCTCCCTTCCTTTTTCCTTTCCCTCCCACCCTAATTCCTTCCCTTCCTCTCTTTCCCTGCCTCTCCTTTTCCTTCCTTTACCCCTCTCCTCACACCCTTTCTCCGTTTCTTTGCCTTTTTTTTTTTAAATGGGAACAACTGATACACCACTTACTTACTTAATTTCCACTTTCTTAGCTCTAAAACTCTCATGCTCTACTTTCATCCCAGCAAGCACAGGACAGCTGCAGATCTCCCCACTTGTCAAAGCAGGAAGCAGAGCTCTCAGCCTTGCTGAGCATGAAGTCCCACCTGTGTCACTTGGCCCAGCTGTCCAGGACTCGGGTCAGCACCCACACCTGTGTTTCAGTCTGCCTCTGCTGCTAACACGTTCTCCACGTTGTTGTGTGTGTTCTCTTGGGCTAAAGAGGGTCGTCTGGGGGAATCTAGATCCTGAGTGTCCATCTGCCCTTAGTGATGGAGCTGGGAAAGATCTTTCCTCTGAGGTTAGCATGCAATGGGCGCATGACCTCCTGGTTTGAACCGAGGCTCTCACTCACAGCTCCTAAAAGTGGGGGCTCACATGTCTGCCCTCCCCTCTCCACCCTTCTTCTTGTGCTCTTGAGGCCTTGAACAATTTTTACTACTCATCCTTGTGACTTCTGAAAGCTATGTTGCTATAGCAACCCAGGCCCACTGAACCGTGTTAAAGAACCTGTTATCAGGAAGAGGAGCCATTAGCTGTCTCCAGAATCCATTTAAAAGAGAATGCAATTACTCTTCAGCGAGGATGCACCACAGTGCTGTTTCGGAGCCTCTGTTTCAGAAGGTCTGAGGGCAGCTGATCCAGCTGCCCCAAATTAGGATGAGGACGGATGGTGTGGCATGCCCAGGCTCACCTAGGGTGACCAGCCACCAGTGAATGATCCTTGCAAGCTGTCACTCTGCAGCCCTCGCAGTTACTGCTTCCTTTTTCCTCTCTGCCTTTGCCATGTCTCTCACTACCCATCAGGCCTCTCTCCTCCACGGACCTGGGCTGCAAGCAGCCATGCCCTTGCCCTTCACTCTGTGTCCAGTTGCTGCTTTCTCCTTGTGGCCAAGAGGACCTTTGAAAAACATCAGATTCCAACCCCCTCCTGCTCACAAGCCCCCAGCAAGCTCCTGCCAGTGTCTTGTGGCCAGAGGTGGCCTGCCACTCAGCACCTGCCTAGGTCTTTCTAGGCCTGTTTATCCTGGCTCCTTTCTGCTCCTTCTACATACCAAGTTCTACCATCTAAAACAGCACCCTCTCCCCAGAGCTCCTGGCCTTCCCTACTCATGTGCTCAGAGTGTCCCCATGTGCAGTGGATGTGGTTACCCCGTTTTGAGATCTTTGCTTATCTCCCTCTCCAGAACAAAGACAAAGCTGCCTGACTCATGTTTGTGGCTGCTATCTATCCCACTAGAGCTACAACAGTCGGGGAGTCAGCTCTTAGTGATCTACGCTTTGTGTGCTGGTGAAGATGTCTGGAGTGTTCCCAATGCACCTCAAGAGTTACATCTCCCCATATCCCTTCAGTCCCACGGGGGGACCCTTCTCCATTCCTTCCCACTGCCCCAGGCACAGGACACCCTGAGGACTGGGTCCACCACATAGGGGAGACGTTGGAAAGAACAAGAAGAGCCTCTGATTAAGTCACATCAGTCCACTGGGGCCAGGAATGCAGATGCCCCTCTAGTCAGCAAAGGGACTTCCTGAGACGCATCTATGATGGCAGGCATCCTCATTTCAGTTCTTATGATGCCACTACTATTTATCTTTTGCTACTGGTACTTCACATACACTATTTCTCTTCAGCCTCCAAGGTACACGGCAGGCAGGATCATTCTTCCGTCTGCTATCGTAAGAGCTGAAGACACAGGGCTGCCTTCGGCCCACGGCAGCTTCTGGAATGAAGTGCCCATTCACTTTCCAGGACACTCTGCATGGAAGCCTGGCCTCAGTCCCCATACTGTCAGGTCCGACAGAAACTCCATTTCCCCAAATTCCAAAAGGCGGAAGGGACAAATGGTTATCTGCGGTGCCTGCCAGCATCCCAAAGCTCATGCTGGCCTCCACGCTCTTTCAATACCCCAGGTACCTGCTGCACGTTTCAAGGTCCGCAAGAGCATCCTAGCTCTTCTCCCCTCCTCCCCTCCCGCCAGCTACTCATTCCACTTATAACCCTGCTGCTTCAGTTATGCTCTCCTTGTCTTCCCCTCTCTGTGTCCCTCCTCCTCCTCCTCCTCTCTGGTCTCCTATGCTCCTCTCTCCATGTCCCCCAACCCTGCTCTGTCCCTGCTTCTCTCATGACCAGGTCTAGTGGGCTGGCCATGTTCAGTCTGTTGCTTTCTTTCTCTGCCAAGGCCTCTTTTGCATGCCTCTGGCTGTTCTTTCTCTCATATCTCCAATAAAATCCTTTCCCTTAACCATACCGTGGAGTGTTCACGCCGGCTTATTCGCAAACCACACTGGCTTCTATTTTTCTTGTTGTTCCCCCTGGACCCTGTGCTTGTTCCTCACAGCACCACTAACATTATAAGTATCATTTCCATGGCAACACAACAGCACTAAGCCAGGCAGACACCTTTGGGAACCCATACCCTCAAAGTATTTTTTTTTTTCTTATTTTCAGCTAAAACTTTATGATGCAACTGAGCATGCCCAGAGGCATTTCTGTCCATCACATTCATCTTTAAAACAGCCTTTACAGGAACTAGAGAAAGACGGCTCAGCAGTTAAGAGTGCTGGCTGCTCTTGCAAAGGACCTGGGTTTGGTTCTCAGAACATACAAAGATGCTTACAATCATCTGTAACCCCAGGTTCAGGGCCTCTGATGCCCTCTTCTGACCTCTCCAGGCACTGCACACACATATGGTACACATATATACATGTGGGCAAAATACTCACTCCTTTTACACATCTTTTAAAATTATGATTTAAGCAAAGCATGCTCAAGAACAGTCCTTATCTGCATAAATATGCGTAAGTTCCCAGGGTAAAGTCCTTACGCTTTCCTCGTTCACCAAGAAATAACTCCATGCTCCCCTTGCCTGCTGCAGACAGCAAGCTCCCGCCACACTTTCAGACCTGGGCTGTGATTACGTTGCCTTTGTGTTTACCAATGACGCAAACCTGTTTTATTCAGTCACAAGCACACACAGGCAGCAGCTGGCAGGTGCAGCTTCTTCCCCAAGCACAGCGCTGGTTGGCACTGTGCTTTATGAAAGAATGGACGACTAAGACTTGGCCAACAGCTCTGAGGACTGGGTCCAACCACTGAGGGGTAACCCAGGTCTGAGTATCTCCAGAACCTCTGCACTCTCTGGCCTTTTGACTTCCAGGAATAAAAGCATACATGTCGGGGCTGGGTATGTGGGGTCCCTCTGGCCGGCAGATACCATGATTTCTGTGGGTTCAGGACTTACCAGAGCTTGCTCTATGAGGAGGCAGAACAGAATGGCGTTGCCCACCTCTCTGAGGCTCTGGAACACGTCTGTCTTGAGTTCTGCATACTCAATGATGTCCTTCAGTTGATGGTGGAAGAACTCCAGGATCCCTGAGAGCCACAAGTGGGACATGGACACTGTTTAGCCAGGTTTATGGGCAGTGACAACTGAACCACAGCCCCAGACTTAGCAGCCGTCTACTTGCCAGCTTACGGGTGGGATTCCATGCAAGGGTCGATACTAGACAAAATTCAGGAGGCTGGCACAAATTATTTGGAGCAAAATAAAACACACCCATAATCCCAAACAGAACAGTTCTGGCCTATTTGTCCCTTCAAAAGGGACTTGAATTCCTAACAGCAAGGTGATTAATAGGTATTATCTACTGAGTTAGGTATTCTACCTACAATACCCCTTTCATTACTCATGATAATATCAACTAGGCACTACCCTCCTTTTTCAGAAGAGGTTCAGAGAGGGTAAGTGACAACCCAGTCACACAGCCAGGAAGTGGTGTCGTCAGACTTGGACACCAAAGCCTCTAGCCTCATCCTTTTCCTGCTCTCAATCATACTCATACAGAAAGTTATGTCTTAACTTCTGGAAACAAAAAATACGAGGCACCAAATTTACAGCTTCTATCTATCCTATATTGAATGGTTTAAAAAAAAAAACACTTTCAGCCTCAGTTTATCTGTGTCACATGGCACCCCACAGGAAGGCCTGCTGGAGGTGCTGAAGACCCACACGTGTGGACCTTTTCCTTCACTGTTTAAATCAGAGGTTCCCAACCTTCCTAATTCCGTGAGCCTTTAGTACATTCCTCATATTGTGGTGACCCCCCCAGCCATAAAATTATTTTCGTGGCTACTTCATAACTGTTCTGCTACTGTTGTGAATCATGACATATCTGTGTTTTACCATAGTCTTAGGTGACCCCTCTGAAAGGGTTGGTTGATCCACAGAGGGGTCGCAACCCACAGGATGAGAACCGCTGGTTGAAATGCTTTCATAGTTGCAGTGCCAACTCCAGCTGGCCAGCAGTCCAGTGGGTACCCTCACAGGATCATTCACTGACCCTGACAGAAGAGGATACATCTGCTCACGGGGTTTAAGACAGGCTAAAGGCTATCCAGTCGGCAGGAGGCACAGCGGAGATGTCAGTTGCCTGGCAATTTAGAGACCGGCAACCTGGAGGAGGCCAAAGCCTCCTTTCCAGTCACCCACCTGGGGAGCCGTACTCGTGCCGAGGCAAACGGCAAATCTTAGGCATCACCTCTATCAGCGTCTTCACGTACTGCAGGATGGTGCCTTGGAGCTGCAAGACAAGAGAGAATCCAGAGGAGTGAGGTGGGGTGGGCTAGCCCACTGTTGCCCTGTGCACCTCTGGGCTGAATGTAGGGCCACAGCGGGGTACCAGGTCTCTTTTGAGACTTGTGAGAAGAGCATTTAGAAGAGGGGGCTATTCCCCCTTGTCCTTTATAGACAGGAAAAGAGTAGAGACTTTAGGACAGATGTGGGATGGGTTTTTTTTGGGGTTGGGGGGGCGCTTATGCTATGGAGACTAAATGAAATGTAGGCAGGGAGTGGTGGAGAGAAATGCACGTAATCTAATAAGCATGGAAAGGCCATTGCACATCCCTCCCCCTCGTTCCCAAAACGAGACATCTTTAATCTATTACAGCATTTTCCTGTTTTACTCTGGACTTGGCACAGGAGTCCTTAATGACCTATAGCTTCTCACGGCTGCTTCTAAAGAACTGGGCTGACTGAGTCTGGCTTGTTCTGTAGATGGTTGGTCGTAAATTATTTCTCTCCAGGAACTCAGATTCCCAGAGAAACCATGTTTCCACGTTTTGGCCTTGCTTCAACAGCACTGCAGGGAATTAAAGGCAGGCTCAGCTGACCGTACTTGGGTCACACACAGAATGTTGAAAACGGAACACAGAATTCCATAACTGCCACTATAATGTTGGTTGCAGTGGTCTGCAAGAAACTCCAAGGGCACAAAGTATAGCAAGTAATTAGAGATGTCTGCTAGGGTCAAGGGTCATGAGAAGAAAAATGGCAACACATGATTTATATGTTTACTATGCTAAAGTGTTTTGTTGTCATCGTTTGTTTGTTTTAAAGGGTCTCACATAATCTAAGATGGCCTCGAACTTACTATGTACCTGAGGGTGATCTTGAACCTCTGGTCTCTCTACCTCTACCTCCCAGATGCTGGGATTACAGGTTGGTACCTCCTGTAATCCCAGCTTTATGGGGGTACCAGGCATTGAACCGAGGACCTTGCACATATCAGGCAAGCATTGTGCCAACTGAGCTACACACCCAATCCATTGTGCTAAATCAGTTAACAGAGAGAATGAGTAGCGATATGGCTTTGAATAGAAAAATCAGGATTTCTCAGTTCAGTCAGCAAAAACAAGGAGTGAGATCTGAGACACAAATGAGGAGACAAAAAAAAAAAGGTATAGGTCATAGCACAACTATGAAGGGATAGAGGGACAGCTCAGTAGGTAAGGGCTCTTGTTACTCTTTCTTGCTGAGCTTACAAATGCTTGGAACTCTTGTTCTGGGGATTGACTACCCTCTTCTGGTATCTGTGGGTACTGCATGCACATGATACACATAAAGGAAACACACACACACACACACACATAAAAAGCTATATAAAAAGAGTATGTATAAAGAAACACACAAGAGGACATGTAGGAGCCACAATGAAACAAGGACCAAGGACTATCAGGGTGACACACAATGGCATAGCTGGTGTAGCCACGGTTTGGCTTTTCAGTTCAGAAAAGCTAATCGTGTGCACAGCTACTGTACCTGGGAACTTGGCAGCAGCTCCCAAGCCTCCCCTTACCAAGCTCTTGACGATTTTCAGCAGTTCCTCCATGACTACGGCGATGCCCTGGTAGCCCAGCAGTCTGCAGATGGTCTTAAAGTGAGGGGGCCCCACAAAGTTCCTGTAGGAGCTATAGATGTGGCTGTAGGCAATGTTGAGAGGCTGGAAACAAGAGGTTGAGGGAAAGTAAGTGAGGAGGTGCGAATGGGTGCTGGAGGGGAGTCCTGGCAGGTATTTTGCTGATAGAAGAAGTGGGATCTTGCTGCTGCCAGGGACCCCTCTCTGGAGACCTCTTGAACACGTTTGCAAGACATGGGTCCTGGAATGTATGACCAAAATATCAGGTCCTAGACTGGTGATTGTGAAAGGCTGCTACATGGCAACCACTCGGCCATGTTCTGTGGGGCTTCCCATGCATTTTCATTCAATGCATTATTCGCACACACAAAGGAATGTGCTTTGTGGCCATCTTTCCCCATTTCACAGATGAGGTAACTAAGGCTCTGGGTAGACAGCAGCTTGTTCAAGGTTACACAGTCCCTTGGTGATTAAGCTTGGATATGAAGCCAATATGGCTGATTCTAATGTCTATATTCTTACTTCTCCCTCTGTTTTAGGAGTTGAAATCATCTACCTATGATATTCCACTTCTTAGCTGAGGTTTCACCTTATTTCTGGGTATTTCTTTTTTAAACCTGGTATTAAAATCTTGCACGTGAGCATGCCAATCTGAGAAGGCTGCACCTGATACTCTACTAGCTGAAGTTCTGTATTTAGCTTAGTTAGAAATTCTGCACAAATTAAACGGAAACCATCGTGATGTGTGTGGAGGCCTGCAAGACTCTTCACTCCCTCCTGACTCTTCGGGGAAGGTGTAATTAGGTTCAGCCTGTGTTCTGGGTTCAGTATGTTTTGCAATACGTGAATTATCCTAAGCTGTACCAAGTGAGCATCACAGCTCTTGTGTTCTCCCACACTGAGGATATGTGAAGAAACAATTAGTGTTCCCATCAGTAACTTGGATGCATGCTGAACTGGAACACCCGTGAGCTCAACAACTGAGTGTGTCTGGTGAGCTCATGCCCGCACACAGGGAGGCATGCATGAAGCATGAGAAAGGACTGTTGTGGTAAACTGCCTAAATGTAGGAAGGGCCATAGCCTATGCCATTTCTAAATGTATGCAGTGAGGGAAATCTCTGAATATGATGTTCCCTAAAGCCCACACTGACACCTGAAAGGGTGTGGACTGTGCCTGTGCCTATGTGGACCCTGAAGCCAGGCCATGCCTCAATGTGCAGACTAAACCTAACTTAGTGCTTCTGTAGCAGGGAGGGTTATCAATCAAGAATGTGGAAGGGGCTTTGAGGCACGCCCACACGATGCTAGGAGGTGTGATTTGCTTCATGTCTTATCATCAAAGCTCTACTCTGCATTCTTCTGTCTCCTTCAGAGTGTTGGAGTCCAGGGGCCAAACAGGCTTGACTGGAGAGGAACACAGACATTTCAAGGGAGATGGGAAGGACCACATCCTCACTGGGTTGTTTGATGTACTTGGCAAGACTCCTGAAACCATGATCAGGGCAAGGATGGACCTGTTGCTGTGTCCCTCTCAAATTTATACACTAAGATCCCAGGCCCCCATATGACGGCATGAAGAGCTGGGGACGTTGGGTGGCTGGAGTGAACGGGACTTAGTGTCTCCATAAGAAAAGACATGTGCGCTTGTTCCCTCTCCGTGCCATGTAATAAGACGCTCATTTGCAGACCAGACATGGATCTGCCAGCACCCTATTCTGTGATCTTGAACTTCCTAGCCTCACGAGCCATAAGCAATAACTACTTGTTATTTCAGTCTCCCGGACTATGGTACTCTGGTTATTGCAGCCCAAACAAAGCCAAGCACATTTTACTATCTATAATTATATCCCTATATGAAAGTAACAAAACCCCCACTTTTTATACCATAGCCTAATTTACTTACTTCCTAAAGATTAAAACGCAGAACAATGCTTTGCATTTTCTCCCGCAGGTTTGGCATCCTAGAGAACACTACAGGGCAAACCTTCGGCAGACACGTGACAGAGCTTGCGGCTCATTCCAACAGCCTCCTCATTCCCACTCGTACTATGGAGTCTGGGCTTTTCCTATGATCCCTGGAAAGCACCTCCTCCTCCATCTTCTCTAAAGATCCCAGGAAAGGAATTTCTGCTCTGCACGGCCAGGGGATTTTAGATGGATGTGGGTGAGGATAGTGGTGACGGCAAACAGCTTATTGTGTTTTTCTCTATCTGGGTCTCTATTTTCATACAGCGAGACTACACGTTGGGCCCTAGGGTAAGTACAGTCATAAGTGGGTTCAAGTCCCAGGACCCTATTTTCTTCTTATTGTTTGTTATTGCTTTGTGAGATAAACGTTTGTTAGTTACGTAACTCTGGCTTGCCTGGTGGTCCCTATGTAGCCCAGGATGGCCTTGAACTCATCATAGCATATCCTCCTGCAGAGCCCTAACTTACTAGTTGGATGTACTTGGGAAAATTAATTACAATCCTTGGTTTCTCCTAGGAAGATGGTACTTGAAGTATAACAGGAAAGACATGTAAGGCAGTAAGCATGGTGCTTACCTAGCCTATGGAAGCACCCGTGGAAACATTCATTAATCTCATTTCAGCTGAGAAAAGCTAAGAAAGTAGAGTGTCGTACTCAAACCCTTTCTCCCCAGAAACTATGGCACAGTGGTGACTCCCTGACATGGACAGGTTCAATACATGACATCTAATTTTATACAACATGATATGTACCCCACAATGGGATAGGACAGAAATCAGATCTGGAAGCAGCGGATAGAACATGCCCTCAAATGCAGGTTTTGTTCAACATTCAAAACATCACAGAAGTCAGTAGTGTCCAGGACTTGGGCCGGGCAGCCCTCATCCTGGGGAAGAGGCTGGAATAGAGGCACTCTCTTTTCCTTCCAAGGTGCCATTCCCACTGCCCTCTTGCTGAGTGTTTGTCCTTTTTAGCAGTCCTCCAAGCCTCCTTCCTCCCCCAAGGACCTCTGGGTGCCAAGCACCTCCTAGCAGCTAAAACAAAACATATTTTCAGGTAATATGGAGGCTGTTCAGCAGGACTTCCCAGTTTTAGGCAGAGGAGAAACACTTTGGAATTCTTTTTCCATACAAGGGTTAGAAATAAAAATGCCACCCCCTGCCCCAACCAACTTGGTACACTTAGGAGGTCTCTGGTACCAATTGTTATGCCAGTACAGGTGGGGAGTTCAGGCCTCAGTAGAACCAACATGAACTTTTCAGACTTCCATGCCACCTCCTTAGTGAACAAGCGCTCCTCCCCATCCCCAAATCCACCGCAGGCATGCAACAGGACACACACACACACCCCCGGAGGGCACCCCTCTGACCTGCTGGCTCAGCAGGAGGCTGGGCCCTATTGAGAAAATGTGGGAATAGGGGAGCCTGGGCATTTTCTGAGGTTCAGCAGAGAAAAACAGGAATGCAGTGTGACTCGAGACATTGAACATTTCCCACCCATCTTTCACCCGAACTATCTCCGCTCTCTGACTCAGGTTACGACCGTAGTCCAATGGGAAACTAGTTAGCTATCATGCAGCTCATGTGAAACCAGATTTGTTTAAATCCAGATCCAGAAATAAATGAGCTCAGCTCAGGGCTCATTACCGGGCAGTGCCGGTTACAGTTTCTGAAAAGGCAAATGGTGTTTTTCTTTAGGTTTAATTTCATGTGTCATCATTGTATGTGTAGGATGTGCTAGCACATGCTGCCTCAGAGGGTGACTTCTGGGGGTCAGTTTTAAACCTGGGTCCATCAGGCTTGCACAGGAGGAGCTCCCATCCCCCTAGCTCATCTCAATGGTCCACAAACAAGACTTTAAGAAGAGGAAAGTGTCAGGGGTGTCAGAAGTGTAAGACCAGTCTTGGCTACACAGGACTCCAAACCAAACCAAACCAAAACAAACCTAACACTGGCCATCTGCATCTCCACCTCTCAGTAGATGGTGGGCATAGCCAGCCGCTCCAAACAATGAATTCTGTTTATCTGGCTAACCCAATTTGTAAGTACTTTGCATCTCTGCTCACTGGACTCACACAATTACTGTTTTCGGAGATCCCGAGAGGAATTCAAACACATCCTGACTTCCTGGGTGTGTTACAGTTTCTCTAGTGGATGCCAGCAGTCCACAAACAAACATGGGCCTCTGACTGAAGCTGGAGGCCCGGCTAGCTGCAGCTCAGCTTTCTAAAACCACTGCATGTAATATCAACAAGATGAAGGACTAACGCGCCATAAGACCCTTGATGGGAAGATGCTTCCCAGGACAGATCCATCGAGGCCACAGGTTCGGATCTATTGCCAGAGCTTGGGCAAAAGTGCTGACCTGCCTGCTTGCCACTTCCTGGTCTTTACCTGTCGGGGCGGGACACCATCCAGCCTCTGAGTTTCTTCCTGGGGGTTCTCGGTCCATGGGATGGATGGACCCAAAGGAGTTGTTGGAGAAAACGAAAAGAAATGATGCTTCTTTCTCTCTTGCTCCGTGAGTTAAGTGCTTTGGAAAAAAAATCAAAAGGAACCGGCCCTCTCGGCTTGGAGAGGTCATGCCCACTCTGTAACACGTGGTTTCTGGAGGAAATGAAAGACAGCTCTAATCCAAACCCTTTTCTTTAGAATCGGTACTCATTTGATGACACACAGCCACACAGAGGTGTGCTGCTTCTTGATGAGGGTATTTGTTTGTTTCTTTGTTTGTTTCAGATGAGTCTCACTATGTATCCCTGGCTGGCTCTGAACTCCCTATGTACACCACAATGGCATCAAAATCACAACAGGTCTGCCTTCCTCTGCCTCCTGACTGCTGGGATTAGGTGTGTACCATTATACTATCTTTTAACTCCTTCATGCTGTCCAGCAGAAGAAATCACTATAAGCCTGGTACCTTGAAATATTTTTGGTAGCCATCAATCCAAAATTAGCACCACTGGTCCCACTTTTGAGGTTCAGCTTGTCCACATTCCCCCCAGAGGCTCCAGCAGAGAATCTCTTCCTTGCTTCTTCTAGCTAACAGTGGTGCCAGGACCCCTATTCTGCGGCCACATACTCCTAGCTTCCAGTCTCTCTATTCAGTCTTCC